GCATGATATTCACCATCAAGTTCGTTCAAATTTGAAAACGTCTGGTGATTCGATGAAGCTATCTTATAATAAGAGATCTACTGAAGTTAATTTTGTACCAGGAGACAAGGTATGGTTGTATAATCCCAGGAAGACCAAAGGGAAGTCTCCTAAGTTGTCTTCTCCATGGGAAGGTCCATATGACATAGTGGATCATCTCTCAGACGTGACTTTCCGGATAAAATGTGGTCGGCGAGGTAAGCCAAAAGTGGTGCATGCCAACAGGCTTTGGCGTTATCATGGTCCTGGACATTTCAGTTGGGACGAATTGAAAAAGGAACAAAAGATGCCGCTGAAGACGTGTCATCTGATAAAGCCACTGTCAAAAAAGAAACTCTACCTGGTTTTGAGAAAGGACACAGTGAAGCATTTGATGAAGTTACTACCACTGATGTGACTGTTACCAATAACAAGACATTTCCTGATGGAGCAAATGAACCCCACATGAAGCAGAAGCCAGCGAGAGGGAGACCAGTACGGAAGAAGATACATCCCATAAAATTAAGAGACTTTGTTGAATTTTAACTTTGTGTTTGTAGTGTTTGTAAATTCTGTACATTTAAATAAGTTATTGTTACTTATCTATTGGTTTAATTTAAGTGGCTATTGTTTGGGACGAACAATACAAAGGAGGGGACAGTGTTGCGTCAGCGAGGTCATGTGACTAGTATCACGACACGTCCTTCTCGAACCTTCATGAATTATCGGGAGACTAATAGATTGGGGGTAGACTGGTATATATAAGAAGCTCACAACGTGACAGAACAAGATAATGAGTAATTGAACTGCAGTCAGAGAGTGTGTAATTGAACTGAGTATTGTTGAAGTCGAGCACGTGAGACGTTTGTTATAGCGCAACTGTTGAAATTAAGTGTATCGCAAAGTAATATTCAGAAAGAATAAACCAGTTTTATTTAAGAAAGGACTTGTGTCGCTAAAGTTTCGTCTGAACGAATTTACGGAAAATCAACTAATCAACGGAGACGTAACAATATCTTAAGCCTTAAAAAAAAAATAGATCCCTAATCATAAGTAAAACTAACTGTGCAGTTTAGGTTCGGTGGATGATCTTTGATGTTGACACAAGTAAATGTAAAAATAACATAAAAGGTTAAAATGAAGCTTATTCCACAGTCGAATATATTAATCAGTATAATCATTACTCATAAAATGGTAGACATGGAACCACGTTTTTGAGACCTACCATGGTTTGAATTCCAACCTTTCTAAATTTTTCATACCAGAGAAGAATTTGGAAAACAAAAATATTCTATGACAAAGCTACAATGCTAATGATGTTTAAGGTCAAACATAAAAAAATCACACATTTGAAAAGAAGTTAAAGCTGTTTATTAGGAAATCATAAGAGCTACACATTTTGTTAATAAATTATTAAAGTAGCATCAGTAAACTCCATGCAAGCTTCAAACATTAAAAAACAGTAACACTATCTACACCATTCTGTTGTTCCAAAGCGAAACCACAGCCAAAGGAAAAGGCTTGGAGAAATCAGACTGCATAAAATTATGAAACATATATTTAAATATTATCTTGGACTTCACTATACAAAGTGTGTATATTAAAATTAGTTATACTGCTTCGAAGTGTTCTATTTATTAAAGTTAAATTTGGGTATCCTTTTCCTTAACACATTTCAGGTTTTCCATATTCTTGTGACATGACATTACTGCAGCTTGTCATTGAAATATATGCATAGATATAAACATGTTAAAAAATTTAAACATTATTTTGTTGGTGTGTGTAACTGTGTTCAACATTATTTTGTAGGTGTGTGTAACTGTGTTTAACATTATTTTGTTGGTGTGTGTAACTGTGTTCAACATTTTGTAGGTGTGTGTAACTGTGTTCAACATTATTTTGTTGGTGTGTGTAACTGTGTTCAACATTATTTTGTAGGTGTGTGTAACTGTGTTCAACATTATTTTGTAGGTGTGTGTAACTGTGTTTAACATTATTTTGTAGGTGTGTGTAACTGTGTTCAACATTATTTTGTAGGTGTGTGTAATTGTGTTCAACCCTACAAAATAATGTTGAACACAGTTACACACACCTACAAAATAATAATGTTGAACAGTTACACACAACTACAAAATAATGTTAACACAATTACACACACCTACAAAATAATGTTGAACACAGTTACACACACCTACAAAATAATGTTGAACACAGTTACACACACACCTACAAAATAATATTTTGTAGGTGTGTGTAACTGTTCAACATTATTTTGTAGGTGTGTGTGTAACTGTGTTCAACATTATTTTGTAGGTGTGTGTTGTTTCAGCATTTAGGTGACAAGCTGTTAAAAATTACAACTAAGGCCACTGTTTAAATAGCAATTATCAACATAGCTCACATGGTCATTACCCATTAAAATACACTAAAGAAAGGCCACCATCATCCTTGTCATATCTGTGGAGTAATTGGAAGTTTTTACATAATGTTCTCTATAAACTAGTAAAAAAACGTTCAGACACCTTAGTTTTATTTGTTGAATCCTATAGCCTTGTTTGTGGAGGATATAGATATATGGAGATAAAAATACACAGAGATCACACACACAGTTTCTATGATTAACCAACTTTTAATTTAGTCCTATATGCTTTATACATTTTAATATGGCCAAAATAGTAGAGAGCCTTTACATTTTCATTGGTAGGGTGAAATTAAATTGTAAATTTTGGATTGTTGGAGCAACCTTACCTGTTCATTGCAGTAAAATAACATCTACTTTAATAGTCAAGTTTACAATACATCAACTATACATTTGACCAGTAAAATTAAAAATCAATCAATACATCCTACAACTTGCTCTTAAATCATAGATACCAGTTCAGTATTTTTGATATAAGTAGTTAATCCTGGATGAGTTACTCAGTATCACACATGTAATCAGCTTTGTTAATTATATATTGATTATAGTGTTAAAACATTGGTCTCGCCCTATTATGAGACTAAAAGTTGTATTGATACTTTAAACTCTATTGTGGATATCTCTATGGTACAGATGAACAGTGAAAATATCCCAATTTCAATCATATCAGAGCTTGTTTTTAAATGTATTAACACTATCAATCGCTGCTAGCTATACTGCTAAGTTTAGATTGTGCTTTAAAGATAAGTAATTCACTTCTTGTCAGCTTCAAATATTTTCTTTGAATATGAATAAGTAAATATTTTAAACACAAAGCTTTCTAATGCAAGCACTTATCACTAAGGCTCAGCATCGACTTTTCTTGTAAGAATGCAAATATTGAAATACTCAGTTGAACTGATCAGAAGGGTAATGTTATTAAAGCGATCTTCCTATACTATATATAGTGAGAGAGAATCTTTACTTTATGAAGCTTTGCTACTTCATCAATCTCTGTACAAGGCAATAAATTTTCACCACTAACTACAAGATACTCATTTTTAAAACTTCTCATTTAATGTCACAAAGTTTTTAAAGAGCACTATATTCCAATGTTAAATAGTACCACTAGATATATCTGTTGGTGGAAGAAAACCAGCAAAATTCTTATGGGTAGGTGAGAGTCCTACCATCATCGCTAACTTCACAGCAACATTGGATCCTTTAGTGTTCACTTCTCGATTATCATCTGGCATCATCTGAAGAAAGATTAACGGCAACGGTATCTAACTGATGCATTTGAATCATTATAGTTTATACACTATATTTAATTAGCTATGCTTGTTACTTAGAATCTGTGTTTAGTTCTGATGCATGTAGGTAGCTTTGTTTGATCAATGTTAATAGTTATTGCCTCATTCAACTGTTATAAACTTTTCCTAAAGATTGGTTTTTGAATAATCAGGTAATGCAGTGTTAAAATAAAGAAGAATAGCTCAGGTGAAATAAACGTTTTAAAGTTTCATTGTAACTTGATAATATTTGAAAATAGATTCTTTATGAAATGAAGGTAACACATTTGTTGATCAATTCAGTAATGAGACAAGTTAATATACAAAGTTTTAAACTGAATAAAAAAAAATGTTTTGGTACTTCTTTATGATTCTTGCAGGAGTGAGTGAAAGAGACTAGCAAGTATGTGATTATATTTTATTTATAATACTCGTTTTTCATAATTAGGAAGTACAGTTTTTATATTTGCATAAAGATAGTTATGGTTGTAAATATTCTTACATTCTTAAAGTTATTACTTGATTTAACTGATGAAGCAATGCATTCAAATCATTATGATTAATATAGTTTGTGTATATAAACCAAATATATCACACAAACAGTTGAGCATCATAGAAATACATGACAGTTAATGGTACTGTGCAGGTAAATATATCAAACAAACAGTTGAGCATCGTAGAAATACACGACAGTTAATGGTACTGTGCAGGTAAATATATCAAACAAACAGTTGAGCATCGTAGAAATACACGACAGTTAATGGTACTGTGCAGGTAAATATATCACACAAACAGTTGAGCATCATAGAAATACACGACAGTTAATGGTACTGTGCAGGTAAATATATCACACAAACAGTTGAGCATCATAGAAATACACGACAGTTAATGGTACTGTGCAGGTAGATATATCACACAAACAGTTGAGCATCGTAGAAATACACGACAGTTAATGGTACTGTGCAGGTAAATATATCAAACAAACAGTTGAGCATCGTAGAAATACATGACAGTTAATGGTACTGTGCAGGTAAATATATCACACAAACAGTTGAGCATCATAAAAATACATGACAGTTAATGGTACTGTGCAGATAAATATATCTCACAAACAGTTGAGCATCATAGAAGTATATGACAGTAAATGGTACTGTGCAGGTGAAGAGAGAGAAATATTAACTTTATGAATTTTTAAATTTCTTTATGTACCTAAAGTATTTCAAGAAGTTGGCATTGACTAAATTTGATGTTTTTTGTACAGGAAGGTTTTGGATGATAAATTCAAATTGTGAAAGACTCAGATGCACAGAAGTATAGTTTATTGTTTTATTTGATGGAAAAAGACAAATCCCAAATATTGCTAAACAAGAAATTATTTTAAATATTTTTTACACATTTTAATCATTGTTAGAAACCATATTTTCTTAATATTTTGAAAGTTTGTGAATATTATCAGTTAACTACTATTTTTACATTTAATTTGTATCATTAACTTGTAATATAGTTTGTAATAACATTAAGAATATTTACAACAATAACTATCATTAACAGCAAGGGTATTTCTTCCCAGTCAAGATTTGTAGTTTATTTTCCTTGGTGTTTACTTGACATGTTCTAGATGAGTTTTTAATCTGATTCCACATTTTGGTTTGTATACTGACACACTCATCCAAGCCTATATAATTTAGTTTTGCACCTTATATATATATATTATTAGTGACAAAAATGAAAAATATTTCAATCACAACAGTAAACATTTATACTCCTCTATCAGTCTGTTATCAAATGCTCAGAATGCAGTTATTATTGTATGATTTTGAAGTAATTTATAAATTAGAAATTACCAATTCAAAATGTATGTGTAAACTGTATGCCTAACAAACTCACAAGTGTAAAATACAGAGTAGTATAAGTTAACAAAAGGTTTTATATTGTAAACAATTATTTTGTATATAAAATACATTGTTAACTCCAGCCAGTACTACATTTTTACTGAAGTACAATAGAACTAGTTAAGTTTACTAAATTAATTTTTAAGGACATCTCTGGTACAAGTGTATTATTAGTCTTGATGTGAAGAAAAATATCAGGAAGTATTGAAACTATAGTTTAACACCATGTGGAAATCTCATCAGACCTGATACAACAGCCGGTGTTCAGGTTTGTTCTTAAAATCACATCAATCTCACCTGTTTGTGTGTTGTACAATTACATCTTAGAAAATGTATATTACACACTTTGATTTGTTTGTTTGTAGTTAAGCTCTTCCAACCACAGGTATCAAAACCTGGTTTACAGCACAAGTCCATAGACATACCATCGTACCACACGATTTTAGGAAGTACCTTGGTTACATGATTAATGATATATTTTGAATGAAAAGAAAATGCTGAATCTTGAAACTAATCTTAAGACACAAACCTTTTCACATATATGTTTATGCACTAGGCCATCCCCACCAACTTCAAATATTGAAAAACCATCTATCCATCTGAGAATAAAAATAAAAAAAATATAAATTCAAACACAGAATTTCTACACATAAAAAAAAACACATTTTTAGGTTTGTTAAAGTCAAGAAGTTATTAAATTAAATGAAACTATGTTACTGGAAAACCTTGCTAAGTAGTATTTCTCTTTCCATTTACTAGTTTATCTTACTGAAAACTGCAATTATATGCAAGTTACCAGTTATTACTACTATTATTAAATGAATCATCAAAACAAGAAAAAACCTATAAAATAATGACTATGTAAATCATACAAGTTGGAGAAATTTTTATAATGATACCAATATATATATATATATACACCTGGAAAAAAGTTAAG